CTGGGAAACAGCACCCCTTACAAGCTCAGGAGACTGAATGCAGGGCTGGCTGCTGCCTTCTACTTTCCTTTCTTAAATATGCCTTTTCGTTCCAGCCACTGTCAGACCACAGAATGACGTGGCCCACAAGCAGCTCTCAGCTTTTGGAGAGTATGTGGCTGAAATCCTGCCCAAGTATGTCCAACAAGTTCAGGTAATATTCACTACTGTTGTTCGGGTTTGGGTCAAGAAAGAACCATGTTGAGACTTCCCTGTCGGTCCAGTGGTTGGGACTCCACACTTTCGATCCCTGGTTGGGGCACTAAGATCCCACGTGCCACGTGGCACGGCCAAAAAAAAAACAACCAAAAAACAGTGAAAGAAAGAACTGTGTTCTCAGGGCACATGGGAGTGGGCAGCCTGGAATCAAACCACAGACTCCTCCATCCCAACTTGGTCTTTTTTCTCTGCCTTAAATCAGGAGACTCCAGCTGAAGTTAGCTGCTCCCTCTGTAGCTTTGTTCCTTCTCCTCTCCTGTTCCATGTCTGCAGGTGTCCTGCTTCAATGAGTTAGAGATCTGTATCCATCCTGATGGAGTCATCCCAGTGCTGACTTTCCTCAGGGATCACACCAATGCACAATTCAAATCCTTGGCTGACTTGACAGCGGTGGATATCCCCACCCGGCAGAACCGTTTTGAGGTCAGTCAGGAGACTTGAGGTTTGGAGAGTAAAGGAGGGAAAGGGGACAGAACAGTTTTAGGGTGATAGCTACCTTTGGGAACCATAGCCTCCTTAGTTTCTGTTCAGGTCAAACAATACAACACAGCAGTTAAACCAGGGCCTCAGAATCAGGCAGACTTTGAGTTTGAATTGTAGCTTTGCCATTAGTAGGCTGTGTGGCTTCAAACATTTTGTTTGATTTTTCTGAATTTAGTTTTCTTATGTGCAAAGTAAGTACAAAAGAAGCGTAAAACCACCCTATCTGATAGGGTGGTTGTGAGGATTAAATGAGATAGTACAGGTAGACTGCTAGCACACAATAAGTTCTCAATACATATAGCTATTGTTATTGTTAGTATGGTCATCTACTTTCTGCCAGATCCTGGGATTGAGAGAGACATAACACCCAATACCTGCCCTCCAGGAGTCCCCCACACTCTAGTGAGGAAGAAGGACACATAAAACAGTTTACTGTAATAACATAATTCAGGGGATGTTATAAGAACACAGGAGAGGCACTTAGCCCTGTCTAGGAGGCTTTTATGAAGGGAGAGAGAAAGTTTGTGCTGAATCTTAATGGATAACTAGGAGACCAGGAATTAGCCCAGTGAGGGAGGGCAGGTCGGGAGGCATCCAGTAGCATGAGCAAAGACAAGCATGCTGACAGGCTGAGCTATAGTGTGGCTTAGGCCTTTGCAAGGAGTTGCGAGTATAAGAGCATCTTGAGGTTTTGAACTTCGAGACAGAAGGCAGGTTCACAGGGTGGAACTTTAACCTGCCCTGTATCATCATTATTATGCTCCCACTCAGGGACTTCTGTCCCAGACCCCTCAGCCTGTGGTCCTCTTGGTCCTCCAGCTCCCTCCATTCTCCCTAGATTGTTTACAACTTGCTCTCTCTGCGTTTCAACTCCCGGATCCGTGTGAAGACCTATACAGATGAGCTGACACCAATTGAGTCTTCTGTGTCTGTGTACAAGGCAGCCAACTGGTATGAGCGGGAGGTGAGTTACTGGACGTGGTGGACCCACCTCTGGGCCGGAGTTGCAAAACTGATTGAAATTACTGGATACAGTGCAGCCCCTCACCCTGTGTTGGCTGTGATGGCTGGTTGCCTGAGTGCCTCTTTTTTCTAGATTTGGGACATGTTTGGAGTCTTTTTTGCTAACCACCCTGACCTAAGAAGGATCCTAACAGACTATGGTTTTGAGGGACATCCTTTCCGGAAAGATTTCCCCCTGTCTGGCTATGTTGAGGTAGGAGCCTTGGAACTGGGCAGCAGTCTGGGCAGGGAGGACCTGGTAGAGATCCTGGGCAGGAATTATGGCCATTGGATTGTGGTGGCTTAAGAGCATCAGTACTGGATTCCATCCTAGCTCCACTCTGACACAGTTTTCTCATCTGCAAAATAGGAACAATAATAGTACTTAACAATAGTAGATTTGCAGAAAACTAATTGATATATGTTTAAAAGGGGAGTATTGTAAATGTTCAGTTGATGTTAGCCATTATTTTAATGGTCATTTTAATGACCAAGGCAGACTTAAGGACACAGTTTGTCACCAAGATCTGAAAGTGGAGTATCTTTTTACCCTGCCCTGGATCTCTGAGAAGGCAAGACACTACATGTTCAGCCCTTAAGAATGGCCAGAGGCAAGACCAGTAACAATTGCCTATAAGAGCCTTATAAAGAATTTCAGTGCTTTACTTTACCATTGCAACATGTTGCAGGTTATTAGCAGGAAGGTGGTTTATTATATACACACACACGTGATTTTGTAGCAAAGTAACTTTTTAGAAATGTTGGGATAGTGGCAATCCAGCCCATCACTTCATACCCAAATGCTCTTGTTTTCTTAGTGTTTAGCATGGTCCCATTCCCAGCACCCAGTTGTCTTTACCTTATCCAACTGATCTTCCAATAACAAGAAAAGCCATGCCACATGTATTGCCTTGCATCTTGGCAGTGATAATGCCAAGGCCACAGGGCCTGAACTTGAGTGCTTGCCAGCTTAGGTTTATTGTTTCCAGCCACTGACTTGCTCCCTCATCATGGGCAAATGCTTACCGTCAATTTATAAGAGTGTGTTGAGGGAATTCCCTGGCGGTCCAGTGGTTAGGACTCCACACTTTCACTGCCATGGGCCCACATTCATTCCCTGGTTGGGGAACTAAGATCCTGTAAGCCGCACAGTGCAGCAAAAAAGAAAAAAAAAAAAAAAGTGTGTGGATGGGTGAGCAAAGTCAGTTCTGGTGGAAAAGGAGCTCAGAGCTCCTGATGTGGGGATGGTGGGCAGGGGGCCCTGCCTGGGTGATGGCAGGGCATGAGATAGAGGCCATTTTAGACTGTTTGGGTTGTGATCTGATGGGTAACACAGATGAGGATGGAGACTTACAGAGGCTGGGACAGGAGTCAAGGACAGAGAAGTAAAGGGGCTGAGGAAGGCTTTGGGAAAGTGGGCCTTTAGTGGCTGCAGCAAGGTCTTCCTTAGCGCTCAAGCCTGCCTTTTTCTTCTGCAGTTACGCTATGACGATGAGGTGAAGCGGGTGGTGGCCGAGCCGGTGGAGTTGGCCCAAGAGTTCCGCAGGTTTGATCTGAACAGCCCCTGGGAGACTTTCCCTTCCTATCGCCAGCCCCCTGAGAGTCTCAGGCTTGAAGCTGGAGACAAGAACCCCGAAACCAAGTAGTTTCAGGGAAGGCATGTGTATCCTAGAAAGCTCCATATGTATCATTGAGTGTCCTTGTAAATAAAATCTTACTTAGATTCACCACTTCCTGTGTGCTTTTTGTGATACACGGGCCTCTCACTGTTGTGGCCTCTCCCGTTGCGGAGCACAGGCTCCAGACGCACAGGCTCAGCGGCCATGGCTCACGGGCCCAGCTGCTCCGCGGCATGTGTGATCTTCCTGGACCGGGGCACGAACCCGTGTCCCCTGAATCGGCAGGCGGACTCTCAACCACTGCGCCACCAGGGAAGCCCTGGATATACTTCTGAGAGAGAGATTCTGGAGCTGAAATTGAAAGTTCTCACAATCCACAGGGCTCAGGATGGGTGTGGCAGGGCCTCTCCTGAGAATTGGAGGGGTCTCAACAACTGCTGGAGAAAGCCCCTTGTCACAGCATACTGTCTGGCGGCAGCTGATGGATCCAGGGGCCTGGGTGGAAATAGGGCAACCTCCACCCACCCTCATCCTCATCCTATGCAAACAATCACAGGGTTCCATGGGCCAACAGTCGGAGCCAAGAAGAGCTTCAGCTCATTTTGAACCCTGTGTCCTGCTCCCTGCAAGCTGACAGCCCATCATGCTTGGGCTAAGGGAATCTTCCTGCACTCTGGCCTGAGCTGAGAATGCTATAAGCAAGCAGAGGGGGTCCCAGTCTGGGGCAAAAGACAATCAGGAGCTGCAGATCTGTCTGCCAGGAAGCAGCACTCTGCACCCGGCCAGTGTGCAGTCTGTTCAGCCCCTGGCTGCGTGCCTGAGGTGGAAGTGTTTCTCTGCCTGTCAGTGGGCCACTCAGCCAGCACACCGGGCAGTTGGAAGACCAGGCTTTGCAGCTGTTGCTCTTGGCTACTGAGGGGCTCCCTGGAGGCTGGGCCGGACTGGGCTGGGCTGGACTGGGTGTCAGGGGCTGGACTCAGCTGCAGAATGTTTTGGGGGTGACGACAGATAGTAGTGTAACTGCCTGGGCTCTTGCCTACCTTTTTTTTTTTTTTTTTTTAATTAAAAAAAAATTATTTATTTTTGGCTGTGTTGGGTCTTCATTGCTGTGCGCGGGCCTTCTCTAGTTGTGGCATGCGGGCTTTCTCCAGTTGCAACGCGCGGGCTTTCTCTACTTGTGGCAAGCGGGGGCTACTCTTTGTTGCGGTGCGCGGGCTTATTGCAGTGGCTTCTCTTGTTGTGGAGCATGGGCTCTAGGCGTGTGGGCTTCGGTAGTTATGGCATGTGGGCTCAGTAGTTGTGGTGCACGGGCTTAGTTGCTCCACGGCATGTGGGATTTTCCCAGACCAGGGCCCAAACCTGTGTCCCCTGCATTGGCAGGCGGATTCTTAACCACTGTGCCACCAGGGAAGCCCCCCTCTCGCCTACCTTTTCGGAGGGCTAAGTCAGAGCTGTTAGCTACCAAACACCTTCTTCCTATTAACTAAGCATCCCGCCCATCTGGGCAGGAATAAGCTAAGGGCCTGACAAGCCAGGAGCCAGGCTCTTACTGCCAACAACCACAGATTCCACATTTCTGTGGGATGGAAAGAGCCCCTAGGAAGCCAGAGCCAGCCCCTCCCTGTTAAGCACGGAAGAATGACACGCAAAGCAGGGAACGGCTGGAGCCTGCAGTGGAAAGTTGGAGCCCTGGTGTGTGGCAGGCGGACAGAGGTGCAGAGAACAGCCGGGGAGAATAAGACTCAGAGGACGTGCTGGGCCACGGCTGGGACGATGCAGTTCCTGGTTTGGTTAATGGTAGCCATTTGCTTCCTCCCTGGGGTGACTACAACGCAGCACCGTGCAGGTACCGGGGCCTTAGGGTGGGGTGGACAGGAGCCAAGGAAGGCTGCTGGCTGACAGCAGTTACACTTGGTCCTATCTGAGCCTAGCAGGGCTTAGGAACTGAGGGCATGACGGGTAGCAGGCTGACCTGTGCTGTGGGGTGGGGGAGGAAAGGTGTGGGCCCAACCCAGAACCAGAAAGGTCTGGGTGAAGTGAGGGGAGATAGCCCTAGGTTCTCTCAATGGGCCTGGGGCTTATTCTGGCTGGTGTGCAAAGGAGAACTTTTTAACTGCCCTGGGCTTAGAGGACAATCATTCCAAGGGTTAGGCAGCACCCCAGAAGAGGGGTGAAGGAAGCTGCAACAGACATCCTGCCTTGCCTGGCCTCCCTGCTTTGCACACGGTCACTTACCGAGGAGCAGGAAAGAAATAGGTTCTTCTCAAAGGGGTCCTCGACCTCTGGGGAGGGTCACTGGCACTGTTTCAGGTCACGCTGTCCCTAGATGATTACAGGGAGGGGAAATGGGAAGTGAAGTGTCTTGTGACCCACTGGCCTGGAGCTCTTGGCCAAGTGAACTGCAGAAGTTCAAGGAGTCGTCCTGGACGTTTGCCAAGACAGTATCTGGGTTTGGGATGATACTTTTGGGATCACAAGACCTATGCCTTGTGAATGAGAGAGTGAATGTCAATGTGCATATGTGTGTAGGGGGAGGTGGACATGGGACAGCATTCCTGTTCTTTTGTAGATAGAAGAACCTCTAGGCACCCCTACCAGGCAGCTTGAAGGGACTCCTGGGAGGCTGGGGTGTTCAGGGTGGAGCTTGGCAGGGCCCTGACTCCTTTCTGCTGCCCCAGGGCAGCCCATGGACAGCACCAACGTGGGAGGTGGCCTGCAGGAGCCAGAGGCCCCGGAAGTGATGTTTGAGGTCTTTCCACCAGCCTGGGACGTGGGGGTGGGAGTGTCCAGATGCCCCTAAGCTCAGGGTTGGGAAGGGGGATGCCTCAAGCTGGGGCTGCTGGGGGTGGGGAGCCAACCCAGCATGGGTCCTACTGCCTGCTTATGCCCCCCCCCCGGCCCCGCTCCCTAGGCCCCAGCCCACCCCTTACACAGCTCCCCTTGCAGCTGCTCTGGTCTGGGCTGGAGCTGGATATCATGGGGCAGCTGCACATCCAGGATGAGGAACTGGCATCCACACGTCCAGGCCGCCGGCTCAGTCTCCTCCTGCAGCACCATGTGCCCAGTGACTTGGAGGGTGCTGAGCAGCGGCTGCAGCAGTTCCAGGACCTGCGGAAGGGACCCCCTCTTAGCCCTTGGGACTTTGAACATCTGCTCCTCACAGGCCTGTCCTGTGTCTACCGGCTCCCTGTGGCTAGTGAGGCTCAGGAGAGAGGTCGCTGGGCCCAGGTCTTCGCCCTCCTGGCACAGGAAACACTCTGGGACCTGTGCAAGGGCTTCTGCCCCCAGGGCAAGCCCCCTTCTCTGGGGCCCTCGGCCTCTACCCTTGACCCCTTCCCCTAACCCTCCCCTTCTGCCTGTCATTCCCACCCCAGCCCCCTCCACCCTGCCCCCTACCTGAGCCAGACCCATCTTGGCCAGGGGCCTCCATCTGGCACCTGGTTCTTTCCACTGTGTTCGGGCCTCTGGGCTCAGCTTGTACCCCATACCCCAGCTTACCCCTCCCCCATCTTCTTCCCTGGGCCCAGGCTCTGGGTCCCAGGCAGCAGGCACAGACCTAAGGGCAGGACTTGCAGGCAGTGTGGGCCGGAGGGGGGGGGGCGGGGGGTGTAGGGGTCAGGGTTGAGAAGTGTGTCTAAGAGATGCTGAAAGGGAAGCTCCCAAGTAAGGCCAGGTCAGACCCTCCAACTCCTACCCTGGCAGTCCCATGAGAGGCAGAATCTACAGGAAACCTGTAAGTGCTCAGTGCCCAGTCCTAATGTAGACACCTCTTTTAAACCCAACCAAGGCTCTGGGGGTCCCTAAGCCTCCAAGTACCCCATGTGGGCTAGGAGAATAGACTGGACATTTTTAGGTCAGTCTGTTGGAGGAATAGAGGGAAGCAGGTGGAGGAACATTATCTTCTGGGGAGCAGGGAAGTGAGAAGTGTTTTTTGGTCCATATCGACAAGGCTCAGAGGAGGGAGTAAGGCTGGAAGGGGACTGAGGCTGGCTGGTGTAGTCCTGATCCTGTGTAGCTCATCCCATAAAATGTTCTGTTCTAGCCTCCTGCAGCCCGGTGTCCTTCTGTTGTCAGAGTAAGTTGTTTAACCCGTGCCTTGAGCAAACCACCCTCCCCATCCCAGGAGGGCAGGAATCGGGGCAACCAGGTATCAGCTGCTTGTCCCATGCGCACACCCTACTGGGAAAAGGAATGTACCGTTTCCTTGAATCCCGTAGCCCCAGTGAGGCAGTGGGGTGAAGTCCCTTGTCACAAAAAAGAACCAGATGGGCCCTAAAAGTAACGTCGTAGGTCAATGGGGAGGAATTACAGGGACTGACTGGAAAGGGACATAAATGGGAGGCCCAAAACGGGGTTAGGCAAGTAGGGTTCAATCAAATTCCCACCTCCTCGCCCTCCCAAGGCCTGACTGAATGCTGCCCTATGCCCTCCGACCCCCACCCGGGGACAGCTGTAGTCAGTCCCTCCCGCCCCGCCCGAGACAAAAGCGTCGCAGTCAAGACAAAGCGCAGGACCCCGGCAGACAGGCGCCGGCGCAGGCCCACTTTATTCGCAGAGTCCAGCCACGCTGGGCGGGCCGTCATGCTCGCGCCGGCGGGACATTCGGGCCGCGGTCCCGGCTTGGCATGCACGCCCCGGGCCGCCCGGGGCTCCTCTCCGGGTCGTGGTTCAGAGCTCCGGAGGCCCGAGGCCGGGCGGGCCGGCGGGGATAAGGTCGGGGTACACCAGGAAGCCGGAGAAGGTGATGTACTTGCCATGGTTGCTGTAGGCGCCATAGCCGTCGTGGTCGTGGCTGAGCAGCCAGACGGCGTCGCCGCGCCGTAGTGCCAGCATCACGCTCTGGCTCTGCATCTCGCGACGCCGCGATGCGCCGTCGTCGTAAATCATGGCCTGCACCTCGTCGCGGTTCTTCATCAGCTTCACCGACAGCGTCTTGCGCGGCAGCTTGCCCAGAGTGAAGGAGAAGAAGTAGGCGCCGGGCAGGCGGCAGCGGAACACGCCAGCCGCCGCGTCGAAGTCGCCGCCGATGTTGACGAGCTCAGTGTCGAAGGCTAGGGGCCGGTGCCGCGGCCCCGGGCCCGCGTCCGAGCCCACCAGGCTGCGCGTGCGCGCCGCCGAGAAGGCCGAGCGCGGCTCCGGGGGCGCGGGCGGCCCGCGCGCAGGCGCGTCGGCGTCGGCGTACACCAGGTAGCCGCTGAAGGTGGCGCCGGGTGCCCCGAGCGCGTACTGCTGGGCGCCGTGCAGCCGCAGCCACACCGTGTCGCCGTAGTTGAGCTGAAGCATGGCGCTCTGGCTGGCGGTGTGCCGCGTGGCGGGCCGCCGCTCCTCGTCGAAGGCCAGTGCCTGCACCTCGTCGCGGTTTCGCACCAGCATCACCGACAGGCTCTTGTGCGGGGCCTTGCCAGCCGTGAAGGAGAAGAAGTAGGCGCCGGGCACGCGGCAGCGGAACTGACCGGTGCCCGCGTCGAAGTCGCCCCCGATGTTCACGTACACCTTGTCGAAGGTCACCGCCATCTCCGACGTGCCCTCCAGGGGGGTGATGCGTGCTGCCGAGAAGGCTGAGCGCAGCTCTGTCGAGCCCGGAGCCGGGCCCAGGGCCCAGCAGGCAGCCGGGCCTAGCAGGCCCAGCAGGAGCGGCAGCATGGCGCCTGGGAGGGGAGGCACGAAGGGAAGGAGACAAGCGTTGGGCAGGGGCGGCCTGGAGACGGGTTCCCTTCACAGACCCGCCCTTGACCCACAACTAGGACTCCTAGTTTCCTACACACTTGGACTAGGTCAGTGGTTCTTAAAACTTCATGGGGCCTCAGTGTCACCTGGAGACCCTGTTAAAGCACACATTGTTGGCTCCCACCCCCACCTTATCTAGTATGAGGCCCGAGAATTTGCATTTCTAACAAGTTCCCAGGTAATGCAGAGATGTTGCTAGCCTAGGGACCACACTTTGGGGACCATTAGATTAGGCCAGTTTTGGTTTTTGTTTTTTTTTTTCTCTCTTCTTTTTTTGTACCCACCGAACTCCTTTTTCAAGTGAAAGCTCACAGACATATACCATAGATGCAAGCAGAAATGCTCTGGTCAGAGGGTCCTATAGCCCTGTCTTCTGGGCTTACACATCCCCTCCTCCTTGACACCCAGGGGCCCTGGAAACGCAGAAGGTGGTCAGGGGGTCTCTGAGTTTCCTTCAGCCTCCGATTTGCTGCATTTTCCTGTGTCTATTATATGGTCCTTACTTAGCCTGCCCCTCTCTCAGGCACTGGCTCTCTATACTGATATCCTCCACGATGGCTGCTGGTTAAGCCCCCATTTTGGCAGGAAAGGAAATAGCCGCTCCCTGACCCATTTCCTGGCCTCTGACCCAGTCAAGGGTCAGCTCCCACAATGGACCTCTGGACTCTCCAGGGGCCCTTCTTGCACTAAAGAGGCCAGAACAGATGGGCTTTGAGGTAGTTCCCTCCCCCTGCAAAATCAGAGTAAGAGAAAGAGGCTCCTTCCTCTGGGCTTGGGGGCTGGTCACTGAGGGGAAAGAGAGAGCCAGGGGCTGCTGGGGATAGAGTGGGAGAGCAACAATTCCAGCACGGCTTTGGCAAGTCTGTGAGGTCAGCACCTTGGTTCCTCAGTAGTAGTGGTGGAGTGGAGAGGACTGACAGCTAAACCTGGGCCCAGGTCCTGGCTCTACCCGTTACAGGCTGTGAAACCTTAGGCAAGTTCCTTAATTTCTCTGGGCATGGCTCCCTCTGTGTAATCGCGGGGGAGACCTGCCTCACAAGCTTACTGTGAGGATGCTCTGAGAAGGCAGCTGTGAACACCTTTGTCGGATGGCAGTGCAGTCAATTTTTTGAGAAAATCGATCAATCAAGATCTTTTTTTTTTAATTAAATTTTTAATTTTATATTGGAGTATAATTGACGATCAAGTTCTTGACATAAGGGGTTAGGGTTCAGTAACTCCTTGGAAACTTGGTAAAGGCACTACTTAATTCAGAGGACTAACTCTCCAAGGGTAGAATTACATAATGCTTCCTAGTAGGGCATAGGCTTTGGGGATTGAATACCCTGAGGACCTGAAGTGGAGGTAAAGCAGAAAAGAAAATACGCTGGTAACAGCCTACCTAGGCCGTGGGCCTCTATGGGAAATGCCCGGGGAGTGTGTGTATCTTTGTGTCTCTTAGAGACACCAGGGACCTGCCAAGAAGGGTAGCCAGATGCAGCTGTGATGTGCTGCACACAAGGACGTTCACCTGAGGGTAGGTGGGTGCTGGAGTCCAACCCACATTCTACTTGCCCAACTGTGTGGAATTGCTGCCCCTGGGGGAAAGTGTGCCTTTTTCTAATTCTTATAGTAAGACCCCCAAGTCCCTAGCCCAGCTGAACACTCTCTCCTTACACAGGAAGTACCTTTTCTCATTCTTTTTTTTTTTTTTTTTTTTTTTTTTTGCGGTACGCGGGCCTCTCACTGTTGTGGCCTCTCCCGTTGCGGAGCACAGGCTCCCGACGCGCAGGCTCAGCGGCCACGGGTCATGAGCCCAGCCGCTCCGCGGCCTGTGGGATCTTCCCAGACCGGGGCACGAACCTGTGTCCCCTGCATCAGCAGGCGGACTCTCAACCACTGCGCCACCAGGGAAGCCCCCTTTTCTCATTCTTACAAAGGTGCCCCACGGGCTAGCCAGTACCCTTGGTGAGGGCAGGGGCAGGGAGGCGGGGCATGTGCAGTAGTGAAGATTGCACCTCACAGCATTCAGTGCGGTCCCTTTCACAGAGCTCTTTGGACATGTGTCACAGCCAACCTGCGAGACAGGTGGGCCCTCTCCCGTTTTATAGGGGAGAAAGCCAAGGCCCAAAAAGGGGAAGCATTTTGGCCCAAGGCCACTCATGGAGCACTGAGGCAAGCCTTGAGGTCTTTTGACTCCAAATTCAGTGTGCGTTCCTCTCCACCACCTTTTCATTCTAAACACAGCTATTTCCAGCCAACCTGTCATCTGCCTCAGTTTCACTTTTCGCAGAAATTGAAGTGGAATGAGTCTTGGGATCTAGGGTGAAGGGGAAAGAAAGCAAAACCAACCAAAAAAATATTCTTAACGTTTTTGTCTTCTGGGAACATCTCAACTCTTCCTGACACTGCTGCTCTTCTAGCAGGTCTTGCCCCAGGAGCACCTGCCCACTCGACCCTCAGTAATCTTTCTGCCAAGCCTGGTGCACCCTGCCAGTGCCAGAGGGTCCTCCTGTGTGTCCAGTACCCATTTCACCTACCACTGCCCATTTCTCAGATCTGTGGGTCCCCATCCTTCCCTAAACCCCCTTCCCAGAGCAGGTCAGAGGTAGCGGGTGTCAGGTGGGCATCACAGC